AAAAAAAAAAAAAAAAAAGAAGTTTAAACGACCGCGAACATAGGCGGCCTGTGTTTCGTACTCTCTCCGAAGCGGATCGGGGTAAGGAAACCGGGAGAAAAGGTGAAATCTTTTACGACGTCGTTGACGACGACGAACCGGGCGTAGGCGAGAGACGACGCGCTTCCTTAAATCAGAATACGGTGTATGCGTGCCTTTTAGCCGCGACCAGATCCGAGAACCTGTCCCAAATCCACGCATGCGGGAGCAGGAGAAGAAACCGGGCGAGACGAGAAGAAAAGAGATTGCCCCCTCGACTGTCCTATTCCAGTGTGACATATAAATTCGTCGTGGCGCGTACGTGCGTCGAAAGAGGAAACATATATCGTGTCGGACGAGTGCGCGAGAGCGCGACATCGAGCGCACCTGACCTGAAAGCTTAAGATCGTCGTCCGCAGCCACGATCTCGGTGCCCGCCACGTCTGTCTTCTTCGTTATCTGTCTCCGTGGATCGGTGGTACACCTTTTTTTTGCTCGCCAAGTGGCCAACCAAGAGGTGTCGATTCCACGACTTTTTCTCTCCTCCTCCCTCCATATAGTTATTCCAAACGTCGTACGTCGTGTGGAATTTGGGAAAAGGAGGTGGAGGGGGGAGTAGCGCGTACTATTTATCTCATTGTCGGTCGGTCGGTCGGTCGGTCGGCCGACCGACAGATTGGTCGATTTTCGAGGAAAGAGCGATCCGGAGGAGGTCGATTCGCCGATTATCCGCTCGGAAGAATGGTCGATCGGGGGCGGGGGGAGGGATTCGAGTTCGACTTGGAAGTCAGAGGGCAGCAGCTTCCGAGAAACGGCCCGTACTTCACCATTACCAACGGTTCCAGCTTTTTAAGGACGACATCGGTGGCCAGGTGAGGGTCCCCGCGGTCGTTCGAGAAATCCACCGTGTCAAATTTGTGCTGGCTACGTATCTCGGAGAGAACGCGCGTCGTTAAATCTTTCGGACACGGTCCTCTCGTTGCTCCTTCTTCCATTCTCTTGGCTCCGGTTCGTCTCCACTTTATCGCCCTCTCGCTCTCACGCGCGCCCCGTCCTTCGCCACGTCTCACTTTTGCCACGTATTCGTTAAACCCCGGCAAAACGACTTAATGTATTATGAAATGTACACGAAACGGTCCTGTTCTTTCTCTTCTCTTCTCTTCCCTTTCCTTCTTTTCTTCTTTTCCCTTCTCTTTTCTTCTCTTCCCTTCTCTTCTCTTCTGGGGCCTGGCCCACACAAGGCGACCTACTATCAGTCCCTACGGTGTACTCGACGTTCGCTTTTGTATTCGTCGAAAACAATGAACGATTTTTCTTTTTTTGTTGAAACGATTTTTTGTCAAATCCGAGATATTCGAATCGAGATTAGAATATCGAATAAGTAAGTAAGATGATGGATGGATAATACAACGATACGACGTATAAATTTTCTCACGTCTGGGATGTTAATCGTTGCGAAGAAAAAGAGAGAGAGACGATTATGAAAAATATAACGTCACAACAATGGTTATGGATAAAGTCGGTCACCGAAGGGTTAAGACAAGCGTTAAAGTAGCTCGGACTCGAGGTAAAAGAAGAAGGCGCACGCTCCCGAGTAAACATTACCGAGCGCGTATACCCGCTACGCTATCTATTGAGTTATCTAAACAGTGATTTGGGCTTGACATAGGGTAGCAGGGCAAGGCCTGTGCGCCATCCGTCACCGCGTCCCTGCGTCAAGAGCCGAAGAGTAAAGAGGCAGCGTTGGCCCTCCGTTGTGCACCTCAGCTTCGTTTCCTCTTCTTCCTTCCACCTCCTCTCCTCCCTTCTCTCCACTGTCCGACAGAAGAGACGTACAACTCCCCGTGGAGGATTTATTACGAGTCCCCTGTGCTCCTCTTACCACCGTGCACCAGAACCAGAAGCAACAGCAACGCCAGTTACAGTAGCTCCAGCCCTCCAACAGTTATCTGCATTATAAAACAGTTGCTGCCAATAGCCGTATAAAGCGCAAGCTTTCAACCCACCCCTCCCACCGTGATCCCATATAAAGAGCTGTTTTCGTTCTCTTTCGACTCGTGAGCCGGTCCTTGCCCGTTGGACGA